TACCAACCACTGCATTTATTTGTAAAACAAATTTCTTCTGAATGGCAGAGGCATCCTTTCCAAGGCTGGAGACCACAGCGGGGGGGCTCTACAGCCTGCCATCAGCTCCAGGCGACCTGTGCAGGGAACCCCAGAACTCCTCCTCTCCCCCATTAGATGGCAATGGGTCCTCATCCGTCTGAAACAATTCACTTTCATTACAGAGTACGAGCTGCTTCCTCTCACACAAGCACCACACCAGTGGGGGACTGGAACTCGCTGCATGTGTTGGTGCTAAGGGATTTTTTCCTTTTTTTCTTTCTTTTTCCCCTCAAGTGACTTCTCAGGCAGAGTCATAATGCTGTTATCGCAACAGGCTGAAATCTTAATGAAGCTCTTCCTTCAAGTTACTCCTTGCTACACGACCATTTCCCGCCACCAAGTATTTCCAGCCTTTCATACACTGTCAACAAAGCATTTAAACATTAGGTCACCCGGTACCTTCAGAGCACGCCCAACCGGCCCTTGGCGTGAACCGTCTGATGTGGGCGGTGGGCAGGACACACGCTGGGATCTACCAGACTGCTGACACGGTGGGATCTAAAGCAGAGCAGATAAAGACTCTTTCTAATAGCCTCACGAAAGCAGAGATTGTGCTGAACCATTATGTGAGTAAACAAAACAGCAGCATAAATTGCATCAAGGCAAGTTTAACAGAGGGTATTTAAACAAACCACACACACACACAAGTAAATCTCAGTTTCCTATAAGATCTGATGCAGGTGTAACAAGGTTACCAAAGAGCTACTCCTGGATTCTCAAATATTTCAAGGGAAACTCCTGGCTAACAGTCCAGCAACGAGAAATTTCAAGGAACACAATTTTCTCAAGTTTAACGAGGAGGGGAAAAACCTCCACCTACAAACACTGTATTAAAAAAGATGAAATAAGGAAGAGAAAGTCCTTTCTAAAGAGTAGTAAACCAGAGTGGCAAAGGATATATTTAGCACAGCCATAAGGAAAAGCATTTTGAAAATCCAGACAGCCAGGAAATGAAATTACTTAATGATGAAGCTACAAGCAGTTAAGTGACTAGACTCCACAGATGAAGCAGCATAGTTCAAAACAGGCATTTTAACCAGTAAGTGGTGACTTTTTAAGCTATTGCACAGCACACAATTCCCTGAACTAGCCCAGCAAATTCTTTTTTTCTGGTGGAAAGGTATTTAAGCAGCAACAACAAAAAGTTCCTACAATTTTATCAAGTAGTTCCAACAAATTTATTTTACACCCACACTTACAGAGCTGCTTCCACAGCCCTGGTTATCTTTTAGGTGAAGCCAGAACTGTGACAAAATAAAAAAAAGGAAATGTTTAAAGCAAACTTTTCTGTTTAACAGGCAGGTTTTTGCTTTAAGTAAAACATGTTGCTTTCAAAAAAAATTATTTCCAGTTAAATTGGATTTTTACTGCTCATTCACACTTTGCAAACATTTTTCCCCCCTCGTATTCAAGCACTCGTGAAATACCCTCAGAAAGAGGCTTTTTGTGTATCAGTTACTATGTGCATGACAAAGGTGCTGTCTCTGCTTAGCCCATGCCATCGATGCCAGGGAGCGTTTACATTCGCTTTACCGTGTAGTTCCAGACCCAGGGCCCCAGAGTTCCTGTGAGAAGCTGGATCGCTATTGTACAGAGCATAGACTCCGTAACATCAAATCTACGTGCGAGGGAGAGAGACATTTCAAAACATTTTCCTGAGCACTTCACCGAAGTGGAGCCGTTAGAACAGATCTGCAGGCACGGTGTAAAGAAGAAAATCCAGACAACTACTGCGCAGCACTGAGACAGGGTAAAGGGTAGGTCGGAGGAAGGGAAGTAACGACCACAAAAAATGAGTATTAATGAATTAACAAAAGGATTGCAACCCACATGGTGTTTTACACATTTAAAACTCCATTCAGAGCTTCTGCGGTTTACAGTTTCACGGTACCACTCCAACACACGGGCAAACGCAATCCTCTGTGTGTGCATGAGGAAACAATCAAATTCCTTGCTCCAAGTCACAGCAAATAAAATTCATAATCAAATCCAGGACCTCTCATCTCCCTACCCCATGCTCCTATCTCCAAATGACACTGAATATATGAATTCTTCGCCTAAAGATGCCATTGTATATTTTTTGTAGAGCAGAAGCGCAGACTGCATCTTCAGCTTGCCACCTTTAAGGGAAAGCAAGAAGTCACACCTCTCTGCTCCAGCAAACCCTCGGCTTCTTGTGAGTAATGCTAAAAGAAGTGAAGTGAGCTCTGGACTCCTGTTCTGTACACGTTTACTCTTCACCCCTGATAGACAGGGATGAAAAAATACGCTGTAGCCCACAGAGCCACAACTACCTCATGTACTCCTTGTGGTAAAATGCAGATTTCTAGCCTTCATATCTGAAATATTTTAAAGTGGGATCAAATTAAAATTACATCAAACCATCTGGTAAAAAAAAAAGATTTCAGCAATAACAGATTCAGCCATAACAGAGCCCCTGTTTATAACAGCACTTATCAAAGTCTGCTCGGAACAGAAGCGTGCGGACTGCCCTCCAGCAACACGCCAACTGATCCAAAAGGTACATCGAGGAAACAAAAGCTCAGCATCATCCTGCTGCCGGAGCTTAAGCGGTGCAGCCAGGAGGCGCAGCCCCATGCCTGATCGCAGTCCGAGGAGCCTTTTCAGTTCAATCATCACAGCACAGTATATCGATAGAAAAGGTAACATTTGGTGGTTTAGGGGATACAGGAAGAGAAAGTCACATATAACACAGCACTGCCAACTTTGGTACTTTTGGACAGCTGCGGTTTCTGTTCCTTTTTTCCTTTTGTTACTCTAAGGGATATTTGTAATTCAGACACAGATTCATTTTTTTAAACATTATCCAGGAAAGCTTAAGAGTGGGCCATTGACCTCGGCATGTGCTTAACTCTGAGATGCTGGCAGTGACAAGTCTTATTTTGTATGCTGTCTGCTCTGCTGGGTTCCCTTGTCAAGCTGGTGAGAGTCTTGAGCCAATTAGCATGCAATTGATTAGTCACACATCCAGAATATACTCTTGTCAGTGCTAATTTATTGAGCATGTTCGACAGGCTATTCTTAAAAGGTCTTGTTTGATTAAACCAGCCATTAGAGTTTGCAAGGGCCACCAGTGAATCAAGTGTCAGAGTTCAGAGACAGCTGCAGTCAGTTCTTCTCTTGCCCAGAATGGTGAACCGAAAGGACTGAATTCGAAGTTCAGGGATTTCCTAAGAAAGTGAACCAAGAACAACAGGACACAGACACTTACACTGGAGATTGCCCTGAAATCCAGTCAATCGCTACTGACACAGCTGATCTACTACAGCCTCTCCGTAATACTGTGTGAAACTAAGGGGGGAGCTTATGTACCATCCTCCTCCTCCTCCCCAACATCCAGAATTCCTTGCAACAGTCCCGTGTAGCAAAACACAGACGTTCTTGCCTTATCAGAAAACAGAAGTGGTGAGACTGAGAAACTCACAGGGATACATCCACTATTTAATACTCTGAATATCAGCATTCTGGTCTGAGAAATGAAGCGTACAAGTGGGATTACTGGGGCTGGGCAATGAGCTACGAATCCGAGCAGGAGACAAAGGGCTGTTTTCTTAAGGGAACCACCGCAGCAAGAAAAGAATGTTCATCACAACATGAGAGAAAAAAAGGCTAAAAGTCACATGCTAGATGTCCAACTGCTTAGTTTTAAAGGTTATTACAGACTTTAATCTTAACTCGCTCCAATCCAGCATTTTCACTTGGATGCAGCGAAATACAAGTAGCATGAATAAAGCAAAGTGTACAGAAGAAAGGAGTGAGTACACAAATTAAAACTATTTCCAGCTACAGGAAATTTGTCTTGACCCAAAAATAGTACTAAAGTGAGCCACAAGCTTTCCTCCTTCCCTTGTTTCAATACACTTATGATTATGTACATTTTTCCTCTTGCTGCTCTCTAACAGACAAAAAGTTGTTCAAGTCAGACAGCAGCCCATGCTTCCGCTCATTACGCTGAAGCTGACTATCTCACAGAGCACTGAGAGCATCTCTCAACGATAAAGGCAGAAAAATCATCAGCAGCATCTCTGCACGTGACCGCTTGCTTCCTGGTTTAAAACACAGTGAAGGAACCTGTGAGAGGGAAAGGAAGAGGAGGAGGATCACGACGAGGAAAAGCCCCCTCAGCATGTGTGACAGCCCTCAGCATTTCAGCTGCACGTCTTTGCGCTGCAGCAGGGCACTGACACGTATTCATGACGCACACCAGGCGCTATGGAAGGGCTGGCAGGTGGCAGCGAGTGACTGAAGTGCGCAGAAGGCGGGAGGTTGCAAGCAGCAAACTTAACACCTACCACGATGCTTCAACGCAGCCTCCTTGTGAGCACAAAGAAACCAATTCCCCCCCCCCGACATCAAGAGAGACTCTGCTGAGCTTCAAACTTTCCTCTGCAAATAACGAAGGCGCTAAAGTTCTTGAAGAAGTGTTGAAAAAACTCCCAAGATGGAAAGTTTTAAGCCTTCTAATCACAGAGATTACTGCCTTATCTCCTACCATAACCCTGAGATCCTGAAGCCGTTCCCAAGAGCAAGAACTCAATGTGCTAAACTTTGACTTGGAAGGCTTCCACCTCTGGATTTTGATATTTGGTGCGAAGTGGCTTTCCAAGATGACACACTAACTCCTTTTCCACTAGCTGCTAAAGAGGAAGGCTTCATTTTAGCTGCTTTCTGAAATACGGGCTCATTTGCTAATCTCTCCTTTATACCTCAGTGGTAGTACCGGCAAGAGGGCTCAGAAGGTGAACCAAATTCACCCTCCCTTCCTAAAGCACCCCATTACCAAGTGGGCTCTTGCTCATATACAATTGCTATGGTGTCGCTGAACAAGAACGTTGCCCCGATTTCGCCAACACTCCTCAATAACGGCTGGTTTGTTCGGCAGCCTGGATCTCTGGCTTTCTGCGGGGACCGTTACTCAAATGGTGAAGTACCAGGGTTCACCTGTCAGCTACGTGAAAGCTGGCAAGAACTGATCCTTCCTCTCTGTGTTTACTGATATCCCTTTATGAAGCATCCTTGGAAACTAATTTCCATCTCACTGTGTGTACATATTTACATATATATATACACACACCCCCTACCCCCTATAGTTTCCATCACCAGCTTTCCATATTTCAATTAAAGGTTGGGGTAAACCAGATAATGCAACAACTCGTAGGGGAAATGCTGGAAATCACGATGCAGCAACAGCCTCATGTCACTGGGTTTTTAAAACGTGATTTAGCACTTCCCCCCCGTCCAGCACGGCCAAACGCACAAGGGCTTTACCTGCGCAGTGCCGCGCCTCCTGTCCAAGACAAGGCTCAAGTTGCAACGCAGAACCCAGCTCAGACCCGACAGACTAACAGCTCCAGCTTCACTTCTATCCATCCTGGATTTGAGACAGCTCCTGCAGAGCCAGACTGTCTGTGTGCTGACCTTGAGGCTGGGTACAGCGCCGAACCTGCGTCACCACACATCCCCTAATTCACTTCTTGAAGCCACAACAGTGAGCAGGTCCAGGGTTGAATCCAAGTGGATTAAGTCTTTGTCTGGAAGAACCAGAGCTAGTAATCACAACTGGGCTCCAGCTAAAAGCAGGCAAATCCCTTTCAGGGTTTGTGCACCATATTCCCTACTGCTTCTGTTTTCCACAACGTGTTCCTAAAATGCAGATCTGCTTCCACATGGAGCGGGGAAGCCCATTGGGCCTTGCCAGTTTGACTTCTGTTATACGCAGAAGAAAAATGCACTTTTTCCAAACTAGAGACGCCCCAGTTGCATCTCTGCACCCACACAAGATTAAGCCTGAAACAAAGCTTGCTCTGTACCACAGCACAGCGAGTCCACGATCCAGAGAAACCAGTTACTGGGCTGAAAAACAGAACAGGAGCACAGAGTATTTTGACTGCTTCAACATTGACCCTTTCCCTGCGATTCAGAATCTCCTTTTTCTTTCTTCAAAGGTGCAGTATATTCCTGCTCTTTCACGAGCCCACTCCCCCATCAGGTGTTTGTTCTTAAACGAACCTTCTGCGCACAACTCCAGCCGTGCTGCTCTACGCTGTTGCTGTTAAAGTGACTTTTACTGTAGCCAACCCAACCTGCTTTGAGACGCTTCCTGCTTCCTCACGGGGAATTTTTATGCAATACTGACCTCTAGCTATTTTTGTGAGCTATTTAAGCAACTCAAGCTGCTTGTTGAAAAGTCTGCATCAGCTGCCAGTATCTAATAAAACTATATAATCATTTAAAGGTGGAGACACATCACTGGGACCTTACCGACTCAACTGATTATCCTGCCATCTTGGCATCATGCAGGGCAGCTCCCTGCAGTTGTCAGTGGGAAGAAAAAGCAGCAGCACAGTCGATGTATTCAGTAATTGGGCACAATTAATCTAATCGTTTTCCTACTCCACCTGCAGCACTCCACAGGAATTTAGCAGAAGGGATCCCATTTCCTCCTCCCGCAGGGCGAACGCTCTGGCTCTGCAGATAGAGTCGGACACAAAGTGCACTCTGCACAGCTTCAGTGGCTTGTCAAGGCCGGCACAGTGACAGCCTGTACGAATCAGACACTTAACGTGACACACTAATTTTTCTTTTTTTTTTTAAAGACAATGCACATTTTCAGCAAGCCAAAGTGACGATACATTTAACTGCTTGAGCTTGAGCTGTAAGGAGCAAAATATTACTTTCTCCCTTTAGCCGTCTGCTGCTCTTCCCTGAGCTGTTTCCACTTTGCTTATTGAGTTGATCTCTAATGAAATACAATTCCTTGGACATAATCTCATCACAGAAATACAGTAAGTGATAACCAGCTGCATGCTCTTTTCCTGCTTCACTGGAGTGGAAGGCAAGGTAGAAATGCTGTCACGTTCCCTAAAGCACCACTGCTGTTCACAGCCCCCTCGGGGTATTTCTGACAGAGTTAGTACTTGGGGTACACAGACAGGGAAAAGTTACTGTGCACTAAGACCTTCCTGGCTCCTTCAACAGCTGCCCCTGATTCTACAGATTCAGGAGTAAGAACACCTGAGCCCGTGTGCTCCAGTGAATCTGAAGCAGGAGATAAAATACAAGCTTTTTTTCAGTTTTATGATGGGTGAAATGAAACCTTCAGAAAAACCTAGTGTCAAACAGTGGGCATCAATTAACTGGATAAATAACCTCAGAGGTTTTGCTATAGAAATGAACATCAGCTTGCAGCAGTCTATTAACCTTACGACACAGGGCAAATGAAACAAATGTGTTTGCTATACAGTGCTGTGCGTTATCTAAAATAATGGCACACGTGCATTTGTGTGCTTATTGCCTTCTCTCAATGAGCTGATGGACCATCAAATTCTCGTAACATAAGGCCACGCAGAGCAACAACATCTGCTACAAAATGCCATCTCCAAAATATAAAGACTCCTCACAAAAGCAAAATGCAGAAGTCAGGGTGAACACCAGGAGTAACGTACACATTGGTCTGGAGCACAAAGGCAAACTGGGTGGGTTTGATACTTGCATCTGTAAAGTCAAGCACATGCCAAGGTCAGGGGTTTTTTGGGCTCTTTGATCGATAACAGGAAAACTTTAATTATCAAGGTCCCATAAAGTTCAAAGGGAACTAAAAGCGTTCAGTATTGAGACTTTCAGTACTGCATGAAAGTAAGAAGTCTAAAACAGTACAAGATTTGAGCCAGATGCCTCATTTTAAAGATTTAAGTATCAGAGAATTGACTGAAACTATTCTGTTTTGGCATAGTCAGGATTAGAAGGAGGTCTAGATTTTTTTAATTTTCTTCCTCCAATAGACATTGAAAACTGCTCTATCAGAGTAGAAACACTGAAGTTTCTCCAGAGAATCTGCATTAGTATTCTGTCGATAAGAGCTGTTATAGACAAGAGGTCCATAATTGTACTCTCTTAGCAGTATCTGGGTATCTAAGGATCAGTAACAATAGACTATAAATAAACAGTGCCTGGTGGAGCAGAGTTTCAAAATCTCACACAAGCTAAGGACAAATTTCAGAGGTTTCCAGGTGCAAAATCATTCTGCAGTATATTTACTTGGAACGTATTTGTTCGATTGCAAGACCTACAAACAGGAAGACAGGGCAAACACACATTGCCACGTTAAGACTAGTGAATCCCACAGCTCACCGAGTCCCTGTGTGGTTTCCCCACCTGCCCTCCCCCAGCAGTAAACGGGATTTCAGCTGTGACTTTCTTGGCATTGCAATTTTGGTCCCATTATTGACAGAACTATGGTCTGCACTAACTAAAAGGGATTCAGAACTTTAAAATGCAGGCACAATGTCAATTGTTACACTGTACTTTAAGAGTTATGGGTAACAGTGAAGATTAACTATACACCACCACAAGTCAAGCAAGATCAAGAGAGGCAGTTAAGTGAACACTGAAGCCAGACTGCCACCATCTGACAAAAGCATTACGTTCTTGAGGAGGAAACACCAGGTACTTTCCCTTATTTATTTAGGTTTAAGTCACATCAGAAGCTCCTAATTAACTAACATGACAAAAGGGTATTTTACCACTCCTAAAAGAAGCCAAGTAACTTTCAGTATTAATTGCAGATCCAACAGGTAATAACTGCCACAAGCACTAAGTGTGTATATACAGGAATACAAACAATTTACAAACAATTTACTACAGCTCTAAGGATCTGAACTACAGTCACATAGAGCACAGCTAGACAGGAAAGCAGCCTAACTTTCGGTTTTATTTTCAGCCAAGGTACTTACATGCCAAAGCGCAACGTTCCAGAGACGTACGTCTGCCAATGCGCGCAGTAAAACATGAATGTTCCAGCAAAACAACAAAAGAACATCCAGTCAGGGTTGGTTCCCAGCTGCACAGCAATACAAGTTCCCAAAACCACAAAGACTGCAGAAGAAAATCAGTCACATAGTAAAAAGATAAAGCGTGTATGTGCATCAAGATCCTTACCAGAAACAAATCTAACAAAAGGACCCAGAAAAGAATGTGAAGGTATCCTGACGTGGTTTGTTTCACGGACATCAGAGATTAACACTGTCATTTTAAAAAAAAAAAAGTACAGACTGTAACATGTGTGTTTGAATTCTATCCGTTATCAGAAGTCCTCAGTATTGAGGGTTTGTTAGTTTCCTACATTTTTATTGAACTTAATGGGATTAGACATCAAGGGACTGGAGTGATTTACTCAATTGCAGCCTGCGGCCACAGTTTTGGCATTTTCTCACATATCCCAAGATTTGCTGGACATATTTTCCCCCATTTTCTGAATTTTTATTTAAGAAATCCAAGGTCTGTCATTCAAGATTCAAAAGGTATATGTGCCTTCCCCTCCGCCCTTTGCATACACAACTTTGATAAACTATTCCTAAAAATTTAAAGCAGAAGAGCTCTAGAATCCAAGTGACCAGAAGCATCTGATCGTCCTTTTGCAATGGGGTTACACTTCAGGCTGGCTCCGTGAACTCTACCGATCCAGGAGCTGATCTTGCCAATTCGAATCTTAACCTCAGACTTGTACCATCCTATTATTTAGGCTTCATTCCTGTCTTGCAATTGCTTTACAGAGATTCAATCTAAAACAATACAGAAGAGCATTTTGACAACTCCTTCCAGAAAACCGAGAACCCAAAGGCTGATAAAGCATATGCAGGAGGCTGCTGGCTCAGACTGAATTAGTCACATGCTCAGGGTGGTTTTTTTCCAGTGTAATACAAGACAAGACATTCAGTTGATCAAGAATACTCCTCTATGGGAAGCAAGCTGACCGAAAAGCTATACACTCAGCAATATCAGCTGTCCTTTTCTCCAGCAAAGAAGCATTTTTCTGTATTGTGGATTTGATCCTGAAATAAAGTTATGTAACCCTCATTACTTCAATTAAAAATTACAATACCTGTGGAAAGTGAATCACAGCCATGATCAAAAAGTTCTCCTAACGGCGTACTGCTATTTGTCCTTCTTGCTTGTTTTCCATCTATAGCATCCAGCGACTGGTAGATGAATAGGCCACATGCACAAGCAATGTATGCCCAGGGAGGTGCCTGAGAAAAAGTCAACGAGAGTAAAATACTTTTTAAGCCTTAAAAAAAAAAAAAGCCTGAAGGTGACATTCTCATGCAGTAGATTTTCATTTGCACACACTTCCTCACCCCAGGCACGGCCCTTTCAGCCGCTGGCCCTTGCAAGGGCAGGCAGAGGGGGTTACGATATGTGAAATGGCAATAAAACAGCGACAAGAATTACTAGTTTAGATTAATAAAGACTGCACGTTTGCTAAAGCAGGAAGCTGCATTGTACCTCTGAAAAAAATTACGGTACGTTTGCAAAGTGGCACACAATTAAGTTCTTGTCTCGCTCCTCTTTCCAGCAGGGGGGCGTGTAAGTTGTCCGAGTGATTTAAAAACACCAAAACCTTCTTAGTCCCCAAAACGTACAACTGTGTCACAAACACTGAGCTCATCTTCACAAGACCCGAGTGAGGTGTCACGTACTAAAACGCTGCCAAGTACAGGGTATCACCAGCTGCGGTGGCATTTGAGCACGATGTCACTGCAAACTGCTCCGACTTCTGGAGTTCACGTTCAGCTATTACGTTCGCCGAGGTCTGCAAAGCTTCAGCACTCTGCAGCACAGCGCCTCCGCCACCAACTCTTTCTTTCTGTTACAGGGTAACAGCAGCTTTGCCAAATCCATGTCAGTAACCTTTAATATCCATGTCCTGTACGGCAATTTTTACTTTTACAGAAATACAAACACCAAACCCCTGCTAGACCAAAGAATACAATTCAAGCTTTTTTCTATTTTGGTATTCGAAGGAGAAACCATCACAACCACAAAAGCCAGAGGGCTGCCATCAGTCTGTCTCAGTTTACACATCCATAGAACAGCTATTACTGGATATTTTGCAATCTTCACATTTGAAAAACCTTATAAAAGCGAGCATTTATGAGCAGCTCTATTTTACAGACCACGCCAAGAAAATGCAAATACAGCTTAATCAAGGTGACGCCTCTCGAAGCTCTGCAGTCCAGCTTCTGGGCCACACAGTCATGACTCATTCGTGGCACATCAACTTAAATATATTCCTTTCTACAGCTTGCATTGTTCCTGCTACTGTGCTTTACTAAAACAGTTCATTCTGCCTCAAAAGCTGGCACCTGGCTCTGCTTTTAGCAGTGCATCTATGCCAACCAGCACAAGAGAGGTGAGGGGGAAAGGTGTCACCCAGAAGCAGAGGACCACATTTAGACAAGGTTTTGATGCCACACAACTCCAGCCCGCGACATCGTTTGTTTCTCACGTACTCACACGCAATGTTTAAGTTACCTTCGGGGTCAGACAATTTTTCTCTAGAAGCTTTAAAAAAAAAAATGGGACTGCTGGCTCTTCCTTCTTAAACACTCCTTTCGTTACCTGTGCAGGTGTTTCCACTCAGATGTTATTTCTACCCACCTAAGATTTCACAGCTCCCTCTCTTATCCAAGTCTTTTTTTCCCCTCCTTTTTTTTTCCTTAAACAAAAATCCAGGTACCATTCCATGGCTCAGCACTTCGCTAGCTGGGACCCCCCCCACTAAACTGGCACTAGAACTATTTGTGTCTCATTTTCTTTTTGAGGCTGCAGGCGATAGCTGCACCCCCTTGGCTACACCTTTCACCAACAGGAAGAGACAAATCACTTTTGAAACAAGCAGAACTAAGGCCAAGCTACAAGGAAGAGATGATTTACATTCAAAAGCAGTACTGCTTTCGGGAAGAAAAAGAAAAAAAAAAATCTGTTTCTGGAATTTCAAAGCCCCATTTTCTTCCCCAGACATCTACGTGACACTTAAAAAGCAGCTCCACCGCTGCGATGGCATCCTCCCTGTCGTGCCAGCACACAGGGCCGCAGTGCCATATGGCAAATCAGATCAGGCTGAAAGCTACCTCAGCAGAAAGTTATTTTTTCAGCTAAAGCGAGAAGACAAATCTCATTCACCTCACACAAAGTAGCTCTCAAACTGTTATACACCGAGTGGAGTTTGAACCCCACAGACTACAGCTAACACTGCCTTTCTGACGTGGAGTGCAGCTCAGTGTGTGCTGCACAAGTTTAATTACCAACCAACACACAACTGTACTCTCAATTTTAAATGCTGCTCTGGTTCAGTGGCCTCTGCCAGTTGCTAAGGTGCCGAAATAGGGACAGGTTGAAGACTACTAATATCAAAAGCCTCAGCCCCCACGTAATGCTGCGCCGGGGGTAAGCGGGAAGTTAAAGCCATGCAACAACGCCACGGCCTGAAAAAGGAAGGAGCTGCTCTAAGTATCCGCTGCTCAAATATAACACTCACTTTTTTATTCGTGCACCTGCCAAATTCCACAGCTTGTTGTGAAACTGTCTGTTTCAACAGATTGCTAGAAGAGGCAAACGTCCCTTTACCACACCACGTGGAACAGGGATGCTGTGAATGCGCCAGCCTACGTGGGGGGTTTTAGAGTCCGGCTGGAAACAAACCATACGCCGCTGGAGCATGAAGCATGTTCCCAGCCTCAGCTGGAGACTTGGTTACGAAGGAGTTCAGATATTTTAAAAGCTAGAACTCACGAGACATTCTCCAGCTACTCCAAATGCAATACATTTTCTGTACCAAATAATTCCCCTTTTTTTCAGCTTTTAACATTCAACATTTGAGTGACAAAACTTTTCCAGCGCACAAAAATGAAAGTCTTCAAGCGCCTTATGAGGTAACTCTAGTGAGAGAGAAAGTCTTTGACACCAGTAACTTGAAAAGCCTCGTAAAGACGGAAACCAGGGATGACAGGAAGTGAAAACAGTTCTCCCGAGGACAGGTCAGGAGCTTTCGGTGCACTCAGAACAAAGATTAAAACGACTGACTTTCATCCAGCCTTCTCACAGCACGGGCTGCTCGGGCAGCACGCTCCTCAAAACAACTCTGTGTTCCCACAGCTCGTCCCAGGCTGTACCCAAGGTCCTGGCCAGAGCAACACGAACCACCGGGGCCCGCACCGGGTGAAGGAAGGTGTCCCTTCGGTTTCGGCACGCTGGGTTTAGTCACACCAGCACGCAGGAAGCGGCCGGCCTTGCTCTCCCAAGCTGGAGCGCAGTCCCTCGCCTGAGCTCGTGTTCCTCGCTCTGTTGCAACCCTAGCCGGGCTCGGGGGCAGGCTCAGCTCGCTGCCAACCGAGTCACCTTGCGCTTCTGGTTGTGTGGTAACTCTAGAGCAGGACACTGAAGGCGACTGACGCAGTCACGAGCAGGGAAAGTAAACAGGCAAAAACCCTGCATGCCACACACGGCAGCGGCAAACCCACTTCTTAACCGCCTGCACATGGCCTCAAGCCTGTGGGGCTGCAGCTTCCATGCAGCAGGTCCTCCACAGCTGTGACCGGAGCAGCCATTTCGGTACTAGACCCCATTTCACACGGTGCATTTGGCCAGAGGAACCGCTGTTCCGCTCAGCGAGCGGCACGCTACGCCCAAAACCTGCAAGTGCTCCTTCTGCATGCAAGTGCTCACACGGAGGCACAGACACTGCCAACATTCATAGAGAACAGCTTAAACTTATGAAAGCTGCGGGCTGGTCAACGAGAAACAGTTCTCCACAAAGACAAGAACGCACCAGACAATGGTCCCCGCTGCTACCAGACGACAGTAACCACCAACAAAGACCGTCAGAGGTCCATAACTTACCTGTTCTGTAGCTGTTGGGCAGTAACATACTAATAGCAGAGTTGTAAATATATTTATTAACAGTCCAATGATGGTGATCAGATTCGGGGCAATCCAGGCTGGAACTCTTCCAACTAACCATTCCCAGTAACCTTGCATTAGGGGTTCAAGCAGGGATCGTCCGGCACTCTGATATTTGTGTTCTTCTAACCGTTTCAGCTGATGCTTTGACAAGGGAGGTGTAGGCAACTGAACCAGTTTGCTCAGCACGCATCCAGCAGCAGGACCGTGACCGCAGCCCGCGGGGGATTCCAGGTGCGACTCCCCACATCGCCTCTTTATGTTTCGGTGCCCACTCATGGATTGGGCGGCCTCAGAATTTTTCTTTGGCAGGTAGCAGCTGTTACGGAGAATCATAAGATCCTGCAACAGAAAGGGTTGAGACAGACTGAAGGTGAAGAGCACCAATGATATTTTAAGATATCAAAAGTTTCTAGGCGCTGCTCTAAGGAGCGCTTCATTTGCCAGCAGCAAACTGAGAAGATTTTATAAAAGTCGTCCCTTAGAAAAGAAGAGTATTTGGAGAATTGCTGAGGGAAACAACCGTTCTCAATGCAGTTATGAAACAGCAAGTTGCACCTGTTTACTGTCCCTGCTGCTTACTGGAGCAAGTATCCTGCAGCCACCAGCCTGTATTTCAACAGCAAGCGCAACCTACACCGCACCACTGACTTACGTTACAGGCACAGGCAGTCCCCCCGCACCCCTCTCACAGGAGAGCTAGCTGTACCTAACACACACCAGCTTATCAACTGATGGCACTAAAGAATTCTCCCTATTTGCAGTGGTTTTGGTTTAATTGCTTTGAAGCAGCTTTGCCTCCTTGGTGAAGCTGAACAACCACCCAAACGCAGTTAGAAGCTGCTTTTTTTTTTTTTCAGATCGCTGTTCCTTATTTCAGTTTTGCTGTGGCTTTTTTTCTTCTCCAAATTTAACCCGGCTCAGGTGAACGCTCATTGTCTATTCAGCTTTTAAGATATCATGCAGAAGCTAGAGAGCTTTAGCGGGCCAAAGGCAGCCTACAGACACCAGCATGAGGCAGCTGTGAAAAGAAAACACAGGGTCAGGAACAGCATTTCCAGCGCAAACAAGGACCCTCATGATGTTCCATCTCCCTTGAAAGCAGGTGACCAGAAACACACACCTCCCCACACAAGCTAGAGGAGAAGGAGTAGAGAAAGGAAACTAAAAAAGAAAAGTTTGCTGTTTATCTACAAAAGCCAACCAGAAAAAAAAAAGAAAAAAAAACTAGTTGTGAAGCCTAGCAGAGTGAAGCTAGAGATGGGAAGAGTGCAGCTATCTCTGAAGCCATCAACAACAAATATACCGGGCAGGGAAAATAAGCCATGTAAGTCAAAGGTCAATACTGGCAAAAGAACAAGTGCTCTCATTTCCACTCTCCACAGCTTAATCAAGGCAATTTCCAACAGCAAAAAGCCAGCCTCGGAAAGCCCTAGCAGTGGGAGGAGAGGAGAAAGCAAGCAAACAGGGCCTTGCTTAGGCAGGACCTTGATAAGTTCGGGAGCAGGCTGACCTGCACCCATCCGATTATCAGGAAATCGGACTTAGTCACCTAGGAGGTCCCTGTGGGTGTTGTCCAGGGCGACCCAAAAAGATTAGTTCCAAGGCAGAAAACCATACGCTTCTCCTCTCTTCCTGAAGGGCCGCTCCCCCCGAGGAGAGAAAACAACCAAAGACCGCCTCCCCCCCGCAGACAAACCCCACACCGCCCAGCAGCCGCAGGACTTT